TTTAATCCACACAACCACACAAATCATTGCGCTTACCGAAAGACATACAAACGTAACAGACAGAAGGACAGACGGACAGCCGGATAGACTATCAAACGAATAGACAATAGTATAGCTGCGGATCACAAGATACATATTCTGCTACAGCGTATAAAATTGAAACGACATGCAAACTTTGAATGCAAAAAGTGCCCGGTTGCCTGACATGAGGCGGCGTTTTTGAAATTGAAATTAAAAGTATTAAAAATAAATAAATAAAAATAAAAGTAGAAGTATATTTTAAACATGAAATTATATATAAAATAGTGCATGCAAACAACCGAACTGCTGTGAAGGTATTACGAATATAAAATCAGTTTACGTCTATTTTTGGCTTTGATGCAAAGTGTTTTTTAAGAGGATAATGAACTTTGTGGATGTTCATTGGCATAAAATTGTATGCAAAAATAACAACTCCATGTTATTTAAAATCAACATGGAATTTTAAAATTAACGCTTTTCAAAATACCATTTATTATAATTTATATTATGTAAATAATAACTGCATGTTAAACGCAACAATTCAACCACACTTTTAGGGAACTAAGCACTTTGGCCGACTTTTGAAGGAAACCATTACAGTAGGAAATATGAAATACTATTTGCTACAGTTTAAAATTTAAAGCCTAAGTATTCCCTTAGGACCATTAAGGACATTAGAATTCCTACAGCACTCTAATTACTATATTGAAAATAACATTAAATTCAAGCTTCAAGTGAAGCTTAGCAGAATCTTCTCAAACGGTTGTTGGGAGACAAATGTGCAAGTACTTCATCGAACAGAAATAACAGTAGTTTGAACAGATTAGACCGTTATTTAAAAAGTAAAAGTAAAACTAACTGTCTTAAAAATGCCACTTAAAAATTTCATAATCCATTTTGATGCATTGATTACCGTCAAACTAGCCCGGAGATAACATGGCGCACATGAAGTATTTGAATCAGAATTTGACAGTCCTTATATCTATTGAATTGATTTGTTCTTTGCGAAACCTAGCAGTTTCCTCTAGCACGGTTGACATTTGCACTATCACCTCGAAACTAGATGACAGATTCTTCGACCACTAAATCATTACAACGTCTTTCAGGCAAAAGTAATGCCAAATCACTATGCAGCAAAATGACTCTTAGCGACAAGATTCTATGTAGATCGTGGGGTCTACACACACAACCATGTTGCTATCATGCTGCTATCACACTACTTTGGTAAGCACTTAGTAGTTAGACAGCGCTATACTTAACTTCATAATTTGGCTCGGTTTATCAGTAACTGATATGGTTACCCGGACACATGAATATTTCCGATAACTGCAAGTTGGTTTACTTTTATTTAAATGTCTACTTTTTTTACATTGTCTATGCACTGATTGACCTGGCCTATTAATAAATACTTTATCTGTGGTATCCGTGGTGCATTTTTTGTGCTCAAGTTGAATTTAGTTTGCAAGTCCATCACTCTCATCTAACCTATGATGTTAGATTGAAACCTCATATGTCAGAATGATGTAAGCATAAGGTTCAGTAAAACATAAGAACGGTTTTAAAGCATACTATATATATATATATATATATTTATTTATATATATATATATATATATATATATAAGTCGTATTTCATCAGGAACATAAATGATTTGCATAGAATGTTCAGTTGTCTCTGTCTTTGGCTCAATACCGTAGTTTCCTGAAGGTTTTATCAGTTTCGGTGTATATATGGTTTGCCACCAGGTCGTTGAGGGTTCCACTGTTGTGTGGCGTGACATATTTCTTCGTAGTTCTTCTTCAAAGTATGTCCTAGCCAGTTGAATTTGCGTCTCTTGATTTGCATATTAACATCCTCTTGCTCAGTTGTGCGAAAAGTTCTTCATTTGAAATGGTTATTGGCTCCCACATTTTCAAGACGTTTAGAAGGCATCGGTTAGTAAAACTCTGTAATTTTTGATTGATGTTATTGTTGACCAGCCAAGTTTTTGAGCCATAAAACAATATCGATTTAACACACGCATTGCAAATGTGTATTTTCTCTATGTTCTCTTTGCCGGCGTAGCTCAAGTCTTCTAAAATTTGATTAAGCCTCTATGTTACACCTCTTCTCACGGCCGTTAATTTTCGCATGAGTGTTACACTGAAAAGTAGCGAAGACAAGTATGCACCCTTGTTTGACTCCCGATCGCACTTAAAAGGTTCACTTATCTAACCAGCATGCACATCGCGAGCCATACAGTCGATGTATTGTATTTCTATTAGGTTAATGATTTTTTGGGAAACTCTGATGTTTTTTAGTGTTGTCCAGATGGCATTGCGTTTAATGGTGTCAAAAGCCTTGATAACGTCTATGAAAGCGACGTATAGTGGAGTGTTGTATTCGTTGTGCTGCTAAATAATAAGCCGGGCCATACGGAAGTTTTGGGAAATGAAAATACAAAATAAGAATCAGTATCACTCAAACTTTCAGATTGTCAACAGTTTGAAACAGATTAATAAATTAATTATTTATGTTAAAATTAGTGAATTTTTTCAATATTTTATAATATAAAAACCTTCCCGGGGATATACTTAATAATTTCCCAAATTTTCCCAGTGATTGGATCTTATCTGGTAATAGACGCATCAAACACGTTGCTCTTAAATAAAATTTTTAAGTAAGCAAATATTTGTCGATATTACCGAATTAATTGAGCAAAAAAAAAATGTGTGGACTTTTGTTCCATCTTTATGTGACTAGGTAAGTCCTTAAACAATTTGCCTGAGACTTTTTATTATATGAGTAAAGAACTTTTATTTGAATTTTAATATCAAAACTGGTTCACTTCATGCTTTATTTTTAAATAAATAGAATATATATAGGTATATTGCACTTGATTTGAGAGAGTGCAAGTCTAAATTCGTGTGCGCATCAAGAGAATTGAATAATCGAACAATGATACAAAGCGCTATATCTTCGACGTACTTTTGGCAGAACTGATTATATTTCATAACAAGTTGAATCTATTTATTTAAAAACATTAGTAGGTATATTCAAGACCTAACCTTAAAATATGAAGTTATTTCATATTTAGTAATCGCTTAAAGGGGTTATAGAAATATTTTAAAAAATTAAGTACGGTAACGCTCGGGAAATATCGTCTAAGTAAGTAAACGAATGTAGAAGAAATTTCAACTCTTTGAGTAGTAGACCATGTATCATTATTGTTTGGATTCCTGTTCATATAGGTAAATATGAGTCTAACTTACTTATATAAATAAGTAAGTTGGACTTGGTATGTGCTCAATATGTTCTTATTTATTGATTCTACAGATCATATGCAAATAAACGTGAAGAAGTCATTACTAAACAGCATATTTTGCACTATCTTACCTTATCTAGAACTGTATTTGGATGCTCAGACATCTCATATACTATGCACTGTGATAGAAGAAAGGGTCAAGTATAGTACTTTTATTTACAATGCTTTCCTCGAGTTAGAAGAACTATTCCACCCTCTTATCCATTATACAAATTATCCAAATTTATGAAAAATGTGGAACCTAAAAGTTCTACTAGTTAATCGAGAAAGCTGCAGTTCTTTTCACTTTTCTAGATATTACTATGTGGACAAATCAACATCCAAATTTCCCAATTGTAAGTTAGCTTTCTTGTTATCAGTGAGTTGATTAGGCAATCAGAGTTGATTACTTCGACGTCCATTTACAAATCATAGTTGACACAAATCAATTTAAAAATGCAAGTGATACAATTTTTCATTTTCACGATTCTTGAAATAATGAACAATAGTTTTATAATTAAAACTATTACAAGACAACATACTCGTTACACATAATAATAGATGTTGCTGATGACCTATAGAACTTTGAGATAATCTTGTACTGGCGAATGTTGAGGTTGCATTTTGCAGTGACAAAGACAATACACTATCTCTACTTCTTAGACAATCATTAAGAAATGATTGTACATTTTTATTATTCGTATTTTGATAGTGGGGTGGTGATAGTTCATGTATGATATATTATTTTACGATCACGTAATTCTTCGAAGTATAAATGCATATTTGTTTGATTTGTCTTAACGTTCCATAACACTAATGTGGGACATTTATTATATTGTATTTATATTGTTTTTATGGACTTCACTTGTTAACTTTAACTGTTTTTAAATTACGAATTGCAATTAAGATATAGGAAAGGAATTCTGTTATTACTATTTACTGTTTATTTTATTATTAAAAATTCGGACTCGTTGACGACAAGATATTATCATTCATTGTGATTAGTTTATCTGCTACGCTGTTTAAGAATTTCTTTACTTTTTAGCACTGGAACTAATGTAGAATCCATCTCGAGTAGATAACGAAAGCGTGTTGCAATAACAAATTAATGCAAACGTCTGTTTGTGATATTCAATAGTCTCCAGACAGTTATATATAGCTGCATAAAACTGCAATACAAGTGAGTTCGCGCCTCTCCTACTAAACCAAATATGTACTATATTATATCTGTTCTACGTCATGCGTTTGAATGCTCACACATTTGTGGATGCACACGATTTGTATTATCGTCATACGTATATAACGAAAGGGTTTTGAAAATTTTCAATCAGTTTTCGTCAATTTTCGTCAATGCAGCGAATACTATTGCACTTAACCCCAATCCCACGAATCTCCTGTTTCCAATATTTTTCCATTTATAATTGTGAAAATATTTAGTTCATTGAAGTGTTTAATTATTCTCATTTAAGCACAAATCGTACAAAAACTGTGTGAATAATATTATAGTGTGACAAAAATGTTACAGGATAGTCAGATTTTTATTTTCTAAGTCATAATTTGCCACTCTCTTCTAGAAGTGAATTTATGAGATCTGCATAGAAATCAAGTTTTCATCGATATTTCTTGAAGCTGCTTTCATTTTAAACTAGTAAAATTGAATAAAAACTAATTTCATTTAATTCATCAAAATTCAGGTTAAAAAAATTCGAAAAAAAATCTAAAACAGTCAAGTCCTTGTGTCCTAGAGTCAAAATTACGTTGTACGTTGAGTGGATTTTCATGGAAGGAACCTAAGGGTTTCTATTTTAAAATTTGGCTGCTGTATTAAAGTATAAACAGTTTTCATATAAGGTAAGTTGTTGAAGTATATCATTCATTCTAGAGATATATTCTATTGTGACAGGTTTTAGTAAGGATTACTTAAAATAGCTTAAGAAAAACGCGTTAAGAAAAACAAAACTAACTAGAAAATCAATTAAATTCTTAGAAACACAATGAGCAGAGTCGAAGTAAGTTCCTTGATTTACTTAAGTTGTCATATTTTGAAACTTCCATTTAACCATTTTTAAAGTACAAGTTTTTCTAGTTAACTTTACTGCTGATTTTACACGATTGTTGGGAGAATAAATAAACTATTTTATTGAAATTTTATATTTTATAAGAATATAAAATTTAAATACAGAAGAGGAAAGAGGAAAATGTATGAAATAAATGTAAGTAGTTGGAATATAAAAATAAGTGAAACAGAAATATTTTACTGTAATTTATTTACTTGGAGAGATAAATGGAAACAAATATAATTAAATGATAATGATTACGAGAATCTTAATAGCAAATATTCTACTTCGACTACAACGCATCCACATCCTCTTCATACAGATTATATATTCTGATGAATCTCAACCCATATAATTAAATCCACATGCATTTAATGAACCATTAAATATTACACATTCTCCACATTCATGAGTGTGAAAATCATCATCAAACAAAATTCTCGTCTTCATTGTAAGTATGTCTGGAAATTATCAGAATTTGATCAGCTGTCACTAAATTTCCTGGAAAATACTTGCAACTCTCAAACACATGTACAACTATTTTAATAATTAATTCTCTTAATGAGTTAAAACTTTACTTTTAATTAATTAATTATTTTTATTTATCAGTCATAGTGCATGATGAGGCGGAATCATGTTGATAATAAGATATCTAAAAGTAAACCTGTAAACCTCACCAGTTTTACATTGTAATTTATAGAAAATCAGAGAATTATAAAATCAGAAAATCACTAATTTAAACTAAGAAACTAATGGAATAATTGTTAACAAGAGACCCCAGCTATTTTGGTACTTTTTGGTAAAAGCAAAAAAAACCGAAAACCGGAAATAGACAACCGAAAAATATTGCAAACATACACTGGGAAATATTATTGTGTTTATGAAACTTTACTTAACTCTATTTAACTCTAATCTATTGGATAAATGGATGGTGTCCCTCTATTAGTTTCATTTCACTATACAAATATAAAAGAAATTTATTATAACAATATGGGTAACAATATGGCATCAAAAATTATTTATTCTTATTTTTTAACATTAAAGTCTATTATTTTAAATTTTTAGATGCAGTCGTAGTTTTTACTATACGGCAAAGTAAGTTCTGGAAAAATTAATTGGATGCTACAAATACTGAAAAGACAACGGTCCGCCAAATTTCTGTATTTAATACATAAATTATTGGTATAATGTGTTTCAAGAGTATTTGGGATTTTCACTAAGTGTTGTGTGAGATTTATATAAAATGTTAAATGTAAATGTTAAATAAGATTCACAAGTAAATCTTAATGAACGAAACGGAAGAATTGAATCCTAAAACCCAAAGAAATCGTACAATCCTCTAATAATGGATTAATATTACTAACTAGTACAACTGAAAATTTTAATATGTAATAAAATATAGTTCATAAGTACTTTCGCAATTCACAACGGAAAGGATTTATATACCATTTAGTTTTCAATTTGAAATAATCAAACACAATCTGTTTGGGTACTGTTCCAATTAATAAATTTATATTTGTTATATAAGTAATTGTTGGTAAATATCAAAACTTTCATGTCGTGAACATTTTATAAACTAATTTGTCTTATTTAAGCTTTTAACTTTTTTGAATAACACGTAATTCAATCAACCATAATGGATCAATTTTGGGTGTGTGAACCATAAAATTGTACTTCCTCTGAATGTGGAACTATGATATGTGGATGTGTATCTGATATGAATGGTGTTGTCCTTGTTCAATAAGAACCCTGATAATAATACATGAAATAAAGTACGTTATTAATTTATTCTTCAATATAATTTTTTAAAAGAAATCCTTATTTTAGTAGGTCTGTTTGTAGACCTTCCAAGTGACGATGAGAAATGCCAAAGATCGGACCAAATCCATATGAATGTTTTGGAACGAATCTGAACTGATATAAAGCTGTGCTTGTATGATGAGGCACATACTTTCTAGCAATAGATTTGCTGAACTAGCTCAATCTATAGAGGAAGCTAATTAGGCTTCTATCAAAAAGTTTTAATTCCCTTCAATATATTCTCGAGAACACAATTCAACTCCTTTAGCCAGAGGGGCAATATATACGAAACCTAGATCCAAATTGACACCAAAATAAACATAAAAAATGTTTAAATATACATTTAAACATTTCGATGACAGCAAAAAAGTTAAAATCTCACAACTCATATCTGAAGTCACCCGGAAGCTTCTAAGCACAGGTTAGCTTTGCAGAAAGCTGCCTTGCGAAATCCTACTAAAAGTATCCCTACCAAATTAGTTGAAATATCCCAAACTTCGTCTTCTAAGCCTGTCACTCCAGGCAGGGACACTCCAAGTCCCTCCAGTCCAAAACAATAGTTTGGAAATGATGATCTCCACTTTCATCCACAGCTTAACTCAGTTGATGTCAGTTATGCAAACTACTATTAACGAAATAGTTAAAATGCAAAGCTTATTAATGCAAATGTTTTTGTCTAATAAATGAGTAAGTAAAAAATTTGTATATGGAATGCGAACGGCTTAAGCCAACATAAACTTGAACTCATAAACTTCATGTCTCGAGAAAGTGTGAATGTAATGCTTTGCTCGAAAACACATCTAACAAACAAAAATTTTTTCTCTACCATATTTCTGGTTATTTATTCTATAAAACAAATTTTGGTACCGTGATGACCCTTTTCTTGAGTTCGTTTATGGCTGGGATAAACTCGGCCGTCGCTAAGGTCCTCACAAGAAATTTATTTGTTGAGACCCTGTTACTTCCGACAACCTTATTAAGCAGAACAGAACTACACAATATCCGAAGCGATATAACACATACACACATGACTGTTAAAGCTATGTGTGTGTTAGTGAATATTTGTAAATGTGATCCTAGTGTGATCTTTGTCAAATAATCGAAGTATTTGACAGTTGAAAAATCTCTTTCATATTGCGTTAGTTTCTAAAATGAGTTGGCAACTTCAGATCTCTTATGTTTGTATTAGCTAGCATGAGTAATACTGAATACATATGATATGTATGCAATGGTAAGTGTTCTGAACTTATTAACTTTTAATCACTTGTAAACATGCATCAATTATTATAAACATGGCATATACTAGATGATGTATTTAACTTCAATGCGACTGTGTCAATACGACATAGCATAACATGCTTCAAGACATAGCAGAATATATATAATAAGTATCTTGCACTATTATTCTTTCGAATAATAATAATGATAATAGTACATATGACTAGATAAATTAGTAATTTTCTCTACTCCAGTATATTCTCGTTTCCATATATATAACCTCTTCCCCTTTATGCATTTTTTTGTTAAAAAAATTTAAACTAAATGGTCTAAATTTTGCCTAAATACAACAAAATGTCAAATTGTATTGAAGGATAGGTGACAGAATATTCGCTTTTATTTAATTTGTTAATGGAAATAAAAATTGTAGTCTTAAAAATACATGCAAAGCAAATCAAAAATTTAATTAAGAAAAATACCTAGATTTTCTAGAAAACTACCAGATTAAATAATGAAATTATTGATACACTCAAGAATGTTTAGAGCAAAACTTTGCATATCCTTTAAAGTTCTGCAATACATAAGATTTCAATTAAGCATAACAAGCTAACGAAGTCAATTCCAGACAAATGAAATCATGAAAAATATTGAAATAAATTTTCGATTACCAAAGTTAATATATATACCGAATAGAGATGCACTCGTCTACCTATAAACATATTACAAGAACGCATCGGGTAGGCACACAACCATACTTGCATGACTGTCCAATTGTCTGTCTGTCTGTCTATTTGTCTGTCTGGCTGTAACTCTGTTTGTTAACTTTACCTACTATAATACGAGTACTTATCAATGGAAATCGTACTTTAAATGTCAACAGAGCAAAAACTACGAAGAAATTTCTTATGAAATGCACATTTTCAGAGACTTTGAGTTTTGTGGACATTTGCCGCTTCTACGTCAACGAGCACATTTACGTATCTGTGGTTCAGTCCCGCTAGCAATACTTCTTTCAGATTCGCAGCCAAGGTAAACGAATAACCTGTTGGCCTGCAGTTACCTCACAATAGTTGAAATATTCACTTAAGTTGAGATTCTTGTGGTAAATATTTCAATTAATTGAAATTGTTGCAAAAATAGTTGTAATTGCAATCACAGTAAAACGTTGCCGTTCAACGGTCACTAACAGTTATAAAATTTTCAAGTGGCAACACTCAAAAACTATATTCAAATAATATACATATAAGCAAATTAAGGTAAAAACTAAACAGCCAGTTCAGTGCAGTACAGAAAGAACCCTACACACATACTGGTATTAGTAAACTTATATAATAATATATAAAGTAGGTTCAAAATTAATTATAAGTAACTTAAAAATTAATGGTGGTAATACCTTAAACACACATTGTTGGAAACACACATTTGGAAAGAAAGTAATAATGTTTACAGTAGTATACTATATACCATATACTATTATACCATATATTATTATACTATATTCTGACAAATACTGTGGGCTTGATATTATCTAAGTCATCCGATATTAAAAAGTCTAAAACCTAGAAAATTGATTAGACTGCTGGTCGCAACAGGACATATGCACAATTATAGTATATTCACACTGACTCATTTAGGCACTTGCTCATTTATATTACTGAGTGAACGATCACATTGCAATGAGCTCATTTATGCAGCTGATAGGACTTTTATAAATTTCACTAAATATATATACTCGATATATATCAATTAATAAAAACTAAAATTTAATTAAATATTTACTTTGTTTACAGCTCAGCTGTTATTTGTTTACATTTTACATATATGACATATGACATGCATTTCAAATTTTGGTGATTGTCTTTGTGAATTCCCCCAAATTTTAAGGTTTTTAAGCGCTATCAAAACATTTTTGTTTTCAGAATAATGATCTAGTGTTTTCAAATAAATAGATAAATATTTTTACCTTAGACATCCTTTCCCAAGTTGTCCTTCTGTCTTGTCAGGGATAGGGATTTTTTAAGTATTTTTCCAAACGTATTTTTCTGCTACAGGTTGCTTTTCACCGAAATCCGTTTTTGCGAGAGAAAGAAGGGAGTTTGGGAAGGATTATCTAACACAAATATGTTTCTCTATTTATTACAATAAGTCAGTAAGTAAGTTTACCAAAAATTCTTGTCTCTTATAAAAATAAATTTTTGATTAACGTTTTTGCCAGAGACCAAGATGTTCTGGAGAAAAACAAGTTGCAAAGTTTGAGCTCGTCAGATCCATGCTAACCTAAATCTGTTGAAAAATCATAAAATAAAACTACATGTCAAAAGACAAACGAAATACCAGAACAACGTGAAGTGAAGTTCGAAGGACAATACATTAATTTAATAATATATAATAATGTATTTACTACAATCTTTCACAATTATTTATCGAACTAATAATTTATTAATTTTATAATACTGAAAGTTGAAAATACTCTTCCATTTATTTATTTGTCTTTTTCAGCAATTAAGGTTTAGAATTGTAAGCAATTTTTGTAAAATAGATTTCCTTTTTGCCATGTACTTAGATCCGGATGTTTTATCACCTTAATAAAATGGGTCTGCCCGAAGATATGGAGTGTTGACACTGCTTAGAAGCAGACGAGGTATCCAGTCATATTCTCTGTGACTGTCCAGCCTTGATGTGGGCCAGGAGGAGATCACTGGGAGGAGAGCTGCTCTCCCCTTCTGACATTAGGATGTTCTCAATGGCCGACATTCTGGTCTTCATTCGGAGGGCAGAATGTTTTTTGTTCAATCTGGTCGCAGTGCTACGCTCCGTTGGGAGCTAGTATCCCGTTCATTTCTATTCTATTCTATTCTAGATCCGGATACTTGCTTCATACTTGCTTAAAGAAAATGGAAGAAATAAGAAATTTTTCATTTTCGCAATAAATGAATGACATGAATAGAAATTGTGTAATAAACGTTGGCAGAAAGAAAGTCCTGTTGTTTACGGGTTGTACGGCATAATTTAGCAAAAAATATGAGTTAAAATCATCCGAATCCTTTTATATGTAAATAAAATTTTATAAATAAATTTTGCTGCTTGTGATAAGAATGGAAATGAGACTTCCTCATTCTTCATTCAAAATATGGCACTTGCTTATGTAATTAAATGGAAGTTGCACTAGAGGAACTAAGTAATAAGTTGATAGCAAAGAGGTGAAGTTCCTTTTGCTATTGCATAAATGGAAAAAATGTTTTGTGGCTCGTTATGGCTTTTCACAATGAGAGAGGAGAACTGGAGAACTAATGTAGAGAAGAATTTAATGAAATTTGGAGAAAATTACCTATGCATGTGCTTTAGGACTTATTTATTTAATTAATTTGAGTACTTCTGAAAAGGATTATTGAATTGATAATAATATTGAATTATTCAATTCAAAGAATCAAAAGGTTTGCAATTTTCAATATTAATCTTCTAATATCTGTTGCCATAACTCATTGTTTAATATACATATTAATAAACGCATTAAAGTTATTGTTTACTTCTATTGTTTGTTGTTTATTCTGCAAATATAAATGTAAAACAATTTTAATTGAGATTAAGTACACTACAATTATATATTAAAAATGAAGTACACATACAAACAATATTCGTTGGTTTTCCAACTCACCCCCTTCACTATTTCCCAATTTCTCTATTTTATGCAGATTTTTATGTTCAAAAATATATATATATATATTTTTATATTTATATTTATATGCGTTTCCAATCACTTTTACATATGATCCGTATCCATTCAGCAAAGAAGATTTAGATAATTTTTTGCTAAAACGCAATTAATATTATCTATTTTAAATTTACGATATTTTTAACCCTATTTTTCTTAGTTCACAATTTCAAGAATTCAAACGATAAGAGACCTACAATAATAAAAGTGTATTAAATAACCTACTGCTAGCATATTAATTAGGCAGAATTGTGAGTTCTGCATTATTTTCATTTAAACGCAATAAATTTCAAGTTTCTATCTTTTATATTTCCTGAGATATGGATATTTCTCGAGATACGGGTCTTCTTATTTTATAAGAGAAGCACATAAAAAAAATTTTGGCCAAATCGGAGACGGTGAGAATGACC